CTCTTTGTTAAAAATGTATTAAGAACTACAAGACAGCAGAGCATTAAACCAAGCATGGTGCCCTTCTGAGCATGGGATCCTGTGGGACTTCGCAGGTCTTACAACCATTTTTATAAGGCACCCCCAAGATAGTTATTGGAAATAATGCAAATCTAAGAAAAACCATCAGCAGCGCAAGGAACGCTGGCAGACAGATTGATAAAAGATTGAAAATGGGAACCAGTGTATGTGTGAAAGGGATGCCTAAGTCCTCAACTGCAGGGCTGACTGTGAGGTGAAAAATGAAATGATCACTCTGCCCGCCTTGAGAAACACCGAGCCTGGGCTGTACATCCCTGAAGGGTCAGGACCACACTGTTTTCATCTTTGACGTCCCTTGCGGGGCTTCTGCACATATGCGGTGCTCCATGAATATTTGAAAGGGACCGAGTTAGTTCTAGAGGCAGAATTAAAGAAAGATGAGGAGTTATGAAAGAAATAGTCCTTTCTTTAATGCAGGCCTCACTAAATTCAGGAGAAGATGAGCCGGTCTTAAAGTTTTTCCTCTTAGTTTATGACGAGTGGTTCAGAGCAGTGCTCAGACGTCAGTTTTGGAAAAACTGCAGTAGATTGCCCGTGGTGGGGTTTTTATGGTGTGTCTGACATTCGTTTGGTGTATGGAGGGTTCTGTGATGAAAAGTGATAGTTTTATGGTAAATGCAAAGCTTCGCATAAGGATTTCTAAGACTCTTATTTCTTTAAAAGTTGGGACTACACTTCCACATATTTTTCCCCAAAGTGATGGATGTGTTTCCCTTGTCCCACTTGTAGGGGTGGTGAAAACCCCACAAAGTCACCAGTACCCTTGTCCAAGCTCACCAGTTAGTGATCATCCAAGTGTGTCACCGTTTGCATTTTATAGGCATGATTTCTCATATGCCCATACTTCATTTGGACCTCTTCGGGGGTATAATTTCATTTTCAAGGGGGCTCCTTAACGGGGCTCCCCGAGTCTATGTTCCTGGATCCCGGGTTAAGCCCTGGCCCTTGTCTGACTGCCTGGCAGGAGCCATTTGGAAGAGCAGAGGTTTCCAGTTGGATGTAGACTGAGATTTGCCACTATTCCTGTTCGGGCCTCTTGAGTACTGCTTCCTGACTAACGCCCTGACCACAGAACTGCTATCAGATGCCCTGGTGCTGCAGGAAGTACCCCTTTCCCCAAGGCTGAATTGCTGGTGCCTCGGCCTCCCTGTGTCTTTGCACCTGCAGCCCCACCAAGCTCCCCAGTTCCGTGTGGATGGTCACCCAACTTGTTGGACAGTGTTGGTCGGCTGACGATGGGTATCTGATTCCAGTTATCCTGGCTCCCGTGAACTGATGTATTAGATAGGACCTTTCTATTTGCAAGTCAATTTTTAAAGAATTTAAACCGGTGTTTAGGTAGAAGTAGAAATTATAGTGATTCAGACAGTCATTGGACTCTTTCTCTCTCCAACTCCTCTGTCCGGCCTGGAATACTCTGACAGCCCCAGACTCTCATCCCAGCAGCTTTATATCTCCAGGACAAACAGAAACAGATACTTCTCCCCTGATCCCAGTAACTAGGGAATATGAATCTAGAGTATTTTTATTGGTTATCCCTGAATCGCACGTTCATCCCATGATATGGCGGCATGGGGTAAGTTCACTCTAGTCATTTGGATAATGTCCTCATAGAAAAGCAGAGATCTGTGATTAGAAGAAGTGAAACAGGCTTTGGATAGGCAAAAACAGCAGGTGCTCACCCTGATCTTCTCCTAGTTCCACTCTTCCTCTTCCTGTGTGCTCTGTAGCCCGACTTTGTCCCAACTCTGCATTTGGTCTGTCGTCCTGCTTCTGGCCCTTCAGAGTTGGCCTGGCCTCCTGGTCTTAGGCCATTCTTTGGCCTCGATTCTGAACCTGTTCATCAAAATTCTTTTTGTCCTTCAGCGGTAAAAAGTTCTTACCACGTGGTTGGAAATGTCACACAAGGTCTCTCAGTGAGACAGTCCAACCCAATGAGAAAAATCTGCATTTATTGAGTTTTTACTGCTATGCATACTGAAACAGTAGGTTCCCCCAAATTAGAAAGTCGTACCCCATCTCCCCACTAAGAAGATTCAAAACAAATATTTGAGGCCAACTTGAATATATAAAAATTTAGGAATGTAGATGAAATAATCAATATTTGCTTCTAATATTTAAGATCATTTGTCCTATAGAGATCAATAGCTTGGGCGGCTGCTGTATTGCACTCTCCCTCTTTATGAAGTCATTTTTCAGCCTCTTCACGTGTGTCTGTGTTGGCCCTGCAACCAAAATCCCTCTTTGAATCACCCTCCTAGCTTACCCAAGCACAGCGTCTTTGCTTCTGCCTCAGTTGTTTGAGCTACAGCCTTTTTTCAGTCTCCATGTATGATACTTCCCTGGGAATATTATTGCATGACTTTCCCCCTCCTTTTCCCTTCATTCTGTAGCTGTATCTGCATGGTGTTCCAGTATAACCGCCTAATGTATGGCCTTTTAAAGTAATGTTTAAGTAACTTGTTTATTCTAACATTCAGCCCCTCCAATTGTGAGGTCCCATGCCCACAATAATTATGGACCATCTGTTAAGTTCTTTGCCACCTTTTCTGTTGATTTCATCATGCAACCCTTATAAACATCCACACTTGACACTGAATGAGGCTGTTTCTAGTTTTTGTGTCTTCCCCTGACAGTACATTGTGGTTCAAAGTAGTTAGAATCTTTGAAAGGACTTGAAGACAAAGCTCTCTCTCCTTTCTGAGGGATAGGGGGCTTGGGGGGGGGGCGGTTGACACCTCATCTTTTATTTAAATACATTGTATGTGTCTATCTACCTGGCAAATTCTTTGTGCTTTGTATACACAATTTCATTTAATTCCTCCAACACTAGTACTAATGAGACAGAGATTTTTATTTCCATTTCACTGAGGAAATGAATTCTCAGAGAGGTGAAGTAAGTTTCCCAAGGACATACAGCTATAAAACGCAAGGTTTGTCTGGCTCTAGAACTCATACCATGGACTTGCACAAAATTCCAGAAGGTTCTTTTTTCAGGTGGGAGAAACATGTCACAGGCTCCTACTTAACCATTCTAAAAATAACAAGTGGATTTATTATTTTTCTTAGATTCTATATATTTTTTTCCTCTACTTCACCTTGACGTGTAATGGATTTTGATTATTCCTTATCCATTGAGTATTTTCAATAATAATGATTCTGTTAAATGAAAATGTTGGAATACATCCTTTTTTGAGACCACAGTCATCCTGCCAAGATTTTCTGTATGTGGCTAGCATTGCTGATGCTGGCTGATCTTACTAAGGTTGTCCCATGGAATTCTGAATTTCCTTCTGATTGTAGAAGCTACTGGCCCAAAATGGCACAGTTGAATTAAATGTTATTTCTGTTTGTATTCATTAAGTTCCCTGCCTTGTTCAGAGTGTATCCAAATTGAAGAGCCAAAGTTGAAGTTTGGATCCTTAGATGGCATTGTCCATCTGTGAATTATTATCCAGCCCAGAGCATGTATAATCAATGAAGTAAACATGTCATCATTCTTTTCTGCGTGTGTGATCAATACAAAATTTTATTAATGAGATCATTTACATTTCTTTTGTTCATCTTGTGAATTTTACACTTAAAGCATGTCTCAGCTTCCACTAGCCACTTTTCAAATGCTTAATAAGCACATGTGGCTAATGGCTTCCTATGGTGAACACACAGCCTGTGGACCCTGGAATCAAAATGCTATATTTTAACAACTTGTAATAAATAGCCAACATTGTTTCATCATATCTTCTTTGCAACCGTTGAAGTTGGTTAAGAAGTATCAATCAAGTGTTTTGCTGTGAAGAGAGGCTTTCCATGGCCAAAAAAAAAACAAAAAAAAACAAAAAAAAACAAATTGCAGAGGTTTTTGGTTGCTGGATTTTTTTTTCCCCTCACTGCTCTCCTGACTCATGTTGAAAGGCTTTTGTTTCTAATCAAAGCAACAAACGGTAAGGTCATTTCCTTGCGATTATATGGCAGCGGAAGGCGTCGGGGTTTTTAGGTCCCTACTTCCACCAGCTTGTATTTGGCGAAAACGCGCGCACACGCACACACACCCATCACAAGTGCTTAATACATGTGTCCTTTGTCCTGCCCGCTCTCTCCAGTCCCTTTAAATGAGCCGAGATCATGGTTTGGAGGTAAGAACAATTTCTTTTATAATCTTCTGACTACAGGCAGTGTAATGGTGCTTCTGGATCTCTTCCTGGCATTTCTTAGAGAATTGAGGGCAGATTTTCATATTATACTGGGGGAGACTAGTTTAAGTACTAGTATTTCAGAACCCAGCTTTTGAAAAGAAAACTCCAAGAAATGTTTATCTTCCCTTTTTTCAAGGAGTTACTCCTTCCCCAAAAGAGCTGGAGCAACTCCAGTTTGATACTAAAGTGAAGATTGTCCTTAATGCTCATCTTTCGGACGGCTTTCCTGTCATTGTTTTAAATGTTATCTCTGCTCCCTTAAAGGTCCTAAAAGGCTGATTTCTTGTTTTTCACTTCGGAACTTTGGTAATTATTGTTGAAATGTACAATTCCACCTCACTGCTCCCCCCCCCACTACCATCCCCTTTCTTTTCTTTCTTTTAATTTTTATTCTTAAATTCTAAAGACTGGAGCTCCTTTACGGATGTGGAAAGGACAGCGAGAGGGCAGGAGCGGTGTCCGTAAGCAACACGAAAATGCTTTTAGATTTGCAGTTGTTAATCATCTCCTCAACACAGTGTGTTCAAAACCTTCTCTATTTCTGTGAGCATTTGGCAGCAAAGATCCTAGGCGGGACTAGAACTCATTAGTAGCTTTTCTAAAAGGACCTTTTAATGTACGTCCCTGTCTTGCCTCGAGACAGAAACAGGAAAATTGAATTCCATCCCCCAGTCTAGTTTATGTTGAAGGCTCTGTGTGATCAGAATTGAACAGCTCCAGGTAGAGACCTCGGAAATGCCATTTTTGGGGATGGCTATCAGTTAATTCATAACACTTTTATGATTTGTCAAAGGAAGTCCTACATCCTAATTAAAGGGAAGCTTTTTTTTTCTTCCTCCCTTGTAATGTGGTTATGGTAAACTCATCAAGTTCAATTCTGTGTGTCCATTTGTTTCCCCCTTCATGGCTAGATGTTGCAGAGGGAGGAGGGGAGAGAAATCTGGGTAGACTTAAGAAAACAAAGGAAATTGTCTCATCCAGGAGGCTGTAAAGCTCTTGGATATGGAAGGAAGTCTGAGGAGGAAGTGGGTAGGATTGAGTAGACTAGAGAAACGTCAAGGAAATAAATATATCACAATAGAGACTGGGACAGCACCCCCGTGGCATAACCTGACACAATAGCATGGCCTTAGAAATGAGCCAACTGTCTTTAATCAGTCTTGTCTAAAGGAGTAGGAAGGAATATAGTTGAATCCAAAGTGCAGTCCTTGACCTGGATTCTCAGGGTGGCACTGTGGTGACGCAGAGCCACACATTTCATGATTCTATTCTTCAGTTTCAGGCCATAGAACCTCCGTAGAAGTAAGACCATGTTGTAATGCAGCTCTTTCAAGAATCAGAAACTACCTCTCTCAACAGAGGATCTGAAACATTCCCGGGCATACCAAAGTCCACTCCAAAGCCTATTCTTTTGTTCCAGGGCAGCGTTTATTTGGTCTTCATTTGGAGTATACAGGAAAGTAGTGATGACTGGAGCGGAGGTTCCTATGGACAAATAACAACCTCCCCAGGCCCCTCCCCCAATGGAGAGAGTGCTCAGGGACTCTGGGGATGGTTGGGGATGGGTGGTGGGCAAATACCATTGGTTGAGTAGAATTGTTAAATATTCATGCCATGGAATATCTGAGCTGGAAGAAACCTTGCAAGTCACTCTGTCCAGTCCCTTCGTGCTATTACTGAGGAGATTAAAAGCCAGAGGAGTGGAGGAATTTTCCTAAGATCTCATCTCCCGTTAGGAGCAGGGCACAGCCCGGAGGTCCTCTCTCTTGGGTCCTGGTTCTGTGCTCTGTCCACCCCAGGGCTGTTTCTAGGACCAGCTGGTTGCTTTGTCTCATTTCCACCATCTCTGCATTTCATGCAGCGTGAGTCTCTTCTCCTGCACTCATTTTCTGTCTGGAAAGAGAAATGTGGAGCTGCATCCCAAATGAGGTCTACTTCTTCATGCACTGCTTCCAGCTGCTGGCAGACACCAGTGGGCAGGTATACAAAAGACCCCGAGAGAGGACCAGCAGTCTTGTCACGAGTCATAACAAACTGTAACACTAGGTAAAACTGTACTAAAACACCTTCTCTTTGCTTTGAAAATACTGTCAGAACCTGAATATATCAGTTAGCTCTTAGGAAAGACCTGTTTCAAGATCGTAATTCAGGTATGAGACTTTCACTTGTCCCTGTTCTGGATATTGTGAAGCTCCAAGTAAGACTTTTTCTTGCTTAATGTTGGAAAACTACAAACATTTTTATTTATTTTTTTCTGGGGAATTTTTATTTGTTTGGTTTTTTTTTAATTGAAGTATAGTTGGTTTACAATGTTGTGTTAGTTTCTGGTGTACAGCATAGTGATTCAGAGATATATATATATATCCCTTTTCCTTTTCTTTTTCATTATAAGCCATACAAGATATTGAATATAGTGTTCCCTGTACTATACAGTAGGACCTTGTTATTTATCTATTTTATATATAGTAGTTAGTATCTACAAATCATGAACTCCCATTTTATCCCTCCACCCCCCAACCCTTTTCTCCCTGGCCCAAAATTTTTAAATGAAGACTTTTTCTAAACTGGAAAGATAAAGCTGAATACAGGTGAAATATATGTTAACATGTATTAGTATAATCTGGTGAGGTTAGGCAGATAGTTTATCATTCCAATAAGAGCAATCAAAGCAATGGAAGATACTGGGCACATTCTCTATTTTAGATGCTCCCCCCCCCGCCACCATAAGCCTTTGTAGATGGAGCTGTAAAGTACATGTTCACTCTGTCCTCTTGTCTTGGTTTATTTCCTCTTTTGGTTTTCTTTTTCTTCTATCTTTGCAAGTTAGAATGAACGAGTCAGCAGAGTTTGTACTTTTCTTTTTTTTTCAGTATATGTGCTGCTGAAGCAAACACTGTACGTGGCTTTTTTTCCCCAAGATTTTACTTTATACCACCCTTTCTTTTTCTTTTTCTTTTTTATTTATTTATTTTTATTGAAGTGTAGTTGATTTACAAGGTTGCATTAGTTTCAGGTGTACAGCAAAGTGATTCAATTATACGTACATAAATATATTCTTTTTCAGATTCTCATCCATTGTAGGTTATTACAAGGTATTGAACATAGATCACTGGGCTACACAGTAGGTCCTTGTCGTTTATCTGTATCACCCTTTGTATCAGAGGTGTTTATAGTCACGTTTTCCAGTCAGGAATGGGATTAGTCCAGAAGGTGACCTTCCACAATAGAAAATCTTTATCTGACGAGCAGTGTGTGAGAGGGAACTGGATTCCAGGGGTAGGTCTGCTGCTTACTGATAAGCTCTGTGGCCTTAGGGAGCTGGTTTTTCCCATCCAGGCCTCTGAACCCACCATTTGTGGGTGAAAAAGCTAGTCTAGCGCTGAGGCCCTTTTTCAGCTTCGAAATGCTCTAACCATGTGCAGGAACTACAGATTCTTTCCAGATCAGTTGCAGCTGTATCTCTCTCTCTCTGCTCCCCTTCTTCTCCCTCCCTGTCTTCATTTCTCCCTTTCTCCTTTTTTCCTTCTCTCTCCCTTCTTTCTTCCTTTCCTCTGATATTTCCCTTTCTACATAGAAAGGAATTCCAGGCATGGGCTACAATGACTCAGCTGCCTGCAGGGCCAGGGGCATCTCTGAGCAGCAGCAGTGGGACTAAGGCAGAGTCCGAAATGGAGAAATTCCAAAACTGCAGACTGGAATCAGACCTGGGGATGCTCTCCAGGAAGAAATTCAGAGCTTGTGGCTAATGGGTACATCTCTTGTATTGAAATTTGATACTGCTCCTTCGATTCCAAATTCCTTAGGAGTCAACCCTAATTATTGCCTGGGTGTGTACTGCATCAGCAGTGTGCCAAGCTTGGGCTTGCAAAGGTGAATGAGATGTAGCCACTGTGCGTAGGAAGCTCCGTTCAGTCACGGGTGTGCAAATCGGAACTCTCCAGTGACTCTCTGTAGCTCCTGCAAAACTGACTTCATTTGCTACTCACTCATGGGGAGTGGAAAAGCTGTTGGCATTGAAATGGCTGTGAGTAGTGGAATTTAATTAATACGATTTTGAGGTCAAAGGATTAAACTGACAGGTATAATTAGGTAGAAATCGAACAATGTCAAATACAACAGAGACACCCTAAAACATTCTGGAGTTCGCTGGGGAAGGTTCTGTTTTTGGGAGGCTCTGTCCAAATGAAACATGCAGAGAGAGGACGTGGCAAAAGTGCAGTGTTTTGAGTCTTAGTGCATAAATCCTGCTTGGCCACTTATGAACTGAGTGCCCCTCTGGCCTTATGATAGGCACAATTAAAATTACCTTATTAGGTTGTGGAGGGGATTAGAGCTTAGCCTCTGAGACTGAAAATGTATAAATGGCAGTTAATATTATTAAATAATATTATTATTCATCTATCCCAAGTACAGCAAATAAAGACCGTGGTGCCATGAAAATGTGTAAACCCCACCGAAAGACTGAGTGTACAAAGTAATGAATGTATCATTTTTTCAGGGCCTTTCATGTTCATGAGTGCATAAATATGAACCAGTTCTTCATTACCCGACATCTTGCCATTGTCAGGATATCCATCCTCCTTCCACCCTTTTTAACACTTGAGCTCACTTGACCCTGCAAACATTTGTCTGGATTTCACCGAGCACAGGTTCACAAATAAGTGATCAATTGCAGTCTATCCATTGCAGACTTTGGTTTTGGGCTTGAAGTCAATTGTTCATCTTTTTAAGGACCTAATTCTAAACCATTTTAAGAACATGAACCCTGTATACAAATCTGATGGAAGTTAAAGAAAGTCCTCCTGGGAAGATTCTCACAAATATATTTTGCCTATACACTGTGTGTGTGTGTGTGTGTGGGCGTGTGTGCATGTGTGTGCGTGTTGGGCGGTGGGGCGTGTTTACAAACACCTCTACCTGCATTAATAGACCTGTGAGAGGCCCTGTATCCCAGCTGGAGAACTGGAATAAATGTATGTGTCTTTCAGAAAAATGGTGAGAAACCAGTTGGCCTCTGTGTGTGACTCCCAAGACGTGAGCTTTTCTGGAACTCTTTGACACCTAACCTATTGGATCCCACTAGAGGTATGGGGCCCCCAACTGAATTGGGCTCCCTAGAAGGTATTTTGAACCTACCAGCAGTTCCTGCCTCTTCCTCCTCTGAAGCTCTTTATGCTGCTCCTCTGAGACGCAGTGTCCCTTTACCGACAACCAGGGCGTGGAGGAGGCAGGCTCCCACTTGGTCCTTGGCCTTATGTTGAATTGAGAGTGAGGTCACTCTAGTGGGACCTGAAAGTAAGTGCTCTGTTCCCCATTAGAACAGTCACCTGGCTTCCAGGGATTCATCTGAAAATCTGCAGAGATTTCACAGTAACCGCTATATTTGAGTTGCAGCCCTAGGCGTTTGTTTGCTGTAACCGTGCACCTCCCCAAGCGCTCACCTCACGGGCTGGCAACCCTGTTTCTTAGAACATTAGCGCTGAGGTCCGACACGCCACAGGTCTTACTTTGCATCCTCCTTTTTTCTTTTGTTTTCAGGGAAGCTACTCATCATCTAGTGGTACTTCATGTATTTTATAAGAAAGAAGACTGTGTTGTGCTCTTGATTTTTAAAAGTCAAATAAGCAACTCCATTTTTTCCCTCAGCAGATATTCACTCAGCAGCTGCTTTTGCCAGGTCAGGGTACAGTGGTTACGAAGACAGATGTGGTCCCTGGAGGCAGATACTACATAACAAAGTCCGTCATTTTTTAATGGCAGTTGTGAAGAGCACCACACCAGGGAAGGATAGAGAGCTAAAAGAACACATAACACTTAACACTCAGAGTAAGGGTCATGCAGCCCGAGACTGTTCAAGACACTCCGTGCATCAGCTTATTCAGACCTCACAGCAAGACACAGCATTATGTCCATTAGTCAGATCACGAAACGGAGTGACAGACAGATGAGGTCATTTGCCCATGTCGTGCCACTTACAAAATATCCATGCCAGGATCTGAACCCCGGGTGATCTGACTTCAGAGTCTTCACCTGTAACCACTACACAATGACTTCTATGCAAAAATCCCTTTTAATCTATGTTTTTAAGGATGAATGGGTTTAGCCAGGCACGTTCCAAACCCCCTCATGCTCTGAGGCGGGGAGGAGATTGTACAGAGGAGGACTAGTGTGGCTGGAGCCCGGGGAGGGAGGGGAAGGAGTATGAGACTAGGAGAGGGTGGGCAGGGCGCAGGCAGTGCAGGACGGTTGGGCTGTAAGCTATGGGTGCTTTATTGTGACTGAATTAGGTCGGCTCCCAAGCTAGACCCCTCAGTCAAGAAGACCGTCTTGGGAGCCTCCCATTCCTGTGATGTGAAACCGTGAAGGGGCGTCCTCCTGATCTGGCTAGATTACTGCAGATCAGTTTACCACTGTGTATATAGAAAGCATCCTGCTTGAGGAGGTTTTATCTGTGTCATCAGCCTGTCCCACTGATGTCTTTTCCAAGCTCAGATGTTTTCCGCCTTTTCTGGGGCAAGCAGAACTCCATTTTCCATAATGGTCCATGAAGCCGCATTGTGCCTGTGGCAGGGTCACCATCATCATCGCCATCGTGGCTAATACTGAACGGCAGGCGCTGGGTTGGATGCCCTCCACGCATTCTTGTGTTTCAGCTTCAAACCCCATGAGTTACGAACTGTTACCATCCTTATTTTTCAGATAAAGAAACCAACTTACAAGGGTTAAATGACTTGCCCAGCATCCCACTGCTAATTGTCAAGGTCAAGTCTTGCATCCAGGGTTGCCTGATGCCAAAGTCCGCGCTTCACCCTGCGTGTCGCACTTCCTGTTCCACAGATGTGAAAACTTATCCAAAGTTAATGGTGGAACTGATTCTAAAACTCAGACTTTACAGAAAATGAAACAGGAAGTTTCATTTTCTGAGCCAACATTTGAGATTTCATAGGAAAAATGAGAACGAAAGGAAACTGAATAGAACACCATGGACTTTCCTCATGACCTGAAGCAGCCTTGTAAACATGTTACAGATTTACCAGCCCACCAGGATATGTTACCAGCCCAGCAGCTGAGTTGGTCACATGCGCAAAAATAGAGATGTAAAGGAATGGGGGGATCTGTATTTGGATATTAACCAGTAGGAATTTGGAAGAGAGCATGAAGAATAAAACAGAATAGTTTTAATATTTATTCTGAGTAAGTGAAGTCACTGTGTGCCTGGCACTGTGCTGAGTCCTTTACATGTATTCACTTGTTTAGTCCTCACGACAAGCTGGTAAACTTGGTCATAGTTGTGTCTTCATTTTATAAACGAGGACCAATGCAGCAGTCTTCTCTTTCTTTGATTTTTTGCCACCCAACCCCCAGATTCATCTCCTCATAGTAACCAGTTATCCTTTACAGGTGTCCCCAGATCTTGTTTCCCCCTTGCCAAAAAGCCTCCAGGGGCTTTCCCCTGCATTTGGAATAAAACCCACCCTCCTTACTATGGCCCACAGTGCAGCACATGGTAGAGCCCAGTGTTTCAGACTTCAGCATGCAATACAGAGACCAAGAGGGCTTGCTAAAATAAAACACAGCTGGTTGGGCACCACTCCACATTTCTAACAAGCTCCAGGTGATAGTGACACAGCGGGTCCAGGAGCCACTGACGAGCCCCTCGTTAACTCCATGGCTTTGTCTGCTTTCGTCTCCCGTTTGGTGCCCAAGCTCCAGGCACGGGTGCTGCTTTTTTTTTTTTTTTTTTTTTTTTTTTTTGCTTAAACTATGCATTCTCAGTAGGGCAACTTCACTCCAAGGAGTATGAATTGCTTCTTAAGGGACAAAAAATTAAAACCTTAGATATTACAGTAGTTTGTGGCCCTCAAAAGCTCAACTGTACCCAACAGATGTACAATATATCTGTGGTATTAAAATTTCATGAGGGAAAAGGGGTAGAAGGGGAAAAATAAATGTCTCGAGAAGCTCCTTAAGAATGTAATAATGAAAAAAAAAAGTTGTGCAGCAAATCTTAGATCAAGGAAGCATATTCCTGCCCCAGGGCCTTTGCACTTGTTGGCCCTCTGTCTGGACTGTTCTTTCTGCAGACCTTCCCAAGTCTGGCTCTTAATCATTCCCATCTGTTGTAAATTCCCCGATTCTTTAAAAGTGCGTTTCTCTTCACTGACTTCAGTCTAATAAGAGGGCTTCAGGGGCTGACAAGATAAGTGCTGGAGGCAGCCAGGACCCTGCTGATGGAGCACTGCAGATTCCTCAGAGCACCCCTGAGTTGGGAGAGCTACATTCTCTTTACAGTTCTAGTTGAATATGCTGGAAGCACTGCAGGCAGGGGCTGGCTTCTATTTTAGGTTGTTTTTTTTTCTTTTAATTTTACTTTTTGGGGTGAATATTCATATAAGGGCCAGGAGATGTTGGGGGACAGTAGAAAGAAGGAACTCTCCATCTGGCTCTGTCTAGTTGTGTGACCACAGAGAAGTCTCATCCGTTCTTTGAGCCTCTATGGCCTCCTCTGTAAAGTACAGATATGGCGTACAGAGTATTATCTGCAAAAATAATGAATCCCTCTCCTGTACACCTGAAACTAACACAATATTATAAATCAAATACACTTCCTTTAAAGAGTTAAAAGGCTATGACTTAACAAAGGACAAAACAGGGACTGTGACACTTCGGGCACATCAAAGCTTGTTGTAAAGTTTAAAAGGAGAAATAGAGGTGAAGGCGCTTTCAAAGTTTAAAGTGCTGCAGACAGCCAAGGTGATACTATTACTCACTGGAACACTCGGACTGAGTTTGTGCCTGGCCGGAGCCACTTGTTCTTTCTCTTTGTGGAGCTCAGGGTCAGCGTAGAACCCACTCCCCTCCCACTCGCTCTGCACCTGCCCGTGGCCTTTGAGAAGGCCCGCCCTGAAGGTGTCTGTAGCAAGGGCGTGATTTTTATTAGTGAAAAGTACAATACTGCTAAATATGGTTACCACGTATAAAGTGTGAGAAGTGTTTTCTGTATGTTATCTCGTGGGACCCTCCCAGCCCTGGGCAGTGGGGACAGTGCTGGGGGCAGGGTGGGCGGGCTGGGCAGGGGCTGCTGTATTATCTCCATTTTCAGATAAGGAAACCAAGGCTCAAGAGAAGAGAAGGAGCTGCCCAAGGCCACACAGGTGCTACGGAGGATAGCTGGGGTCTAAACAAGTCCGACTAACTCCAGACCCTCACACTTCTTAAATAATACACTGCACTTTAAAAGGTAGTAAGGTGCTGTACACCTGAAACTAACATTGTAAATCAGTTACACTTCAATAAAAAATAAAATGTAAAAAACAAAAGGGTAAAAAGAGCTGCTCCTTAGGGATTTCTTACAATACACGAGGCAAAGCGATCCCCATTTTGCGACAGTACTCAGAGAAGGTTAAGTGAAGTCTCCAGCAAGTTCGAGGCAGAACCAGGATCACGCAGTCACACCCATCTGACTTCTGAGGGTCTGCGCCCCACCACTGCCCCGGCAGCAAGAAGCTGAGTGAGCAGCTCCCCCCTGATTCCCCCACCCCTGCTGACTAAAGCAAGTGTGATCGGATAAGCACTAGAAATTCTGGGAAATGATGACTTCCCAATGTGTTTGCCTAATCCAGCACCCAGGCCACTCTTACCAGGGGCACCCAGCCTTTTGTTTTTCCTAAGTGATCACACTCCTCTCCCTCCAGAAATGCGGTTCCAGAAGAGCAAGTCTAAGAAACAAGGCTGCGGCAGGGCCGGGGGAGGAAATATTTGGTTCCCTGGTGACAGCCCTAAGTGTTGGGTGAGATTTCCGCTCATGAGACTCATCCTTTCTGATGGAGGCAGAAAGGAACTGAGATTATCTCAGAGCAGGAATAGAAGCGGGGAGAAACTTGCCGACAGAGCAGAATGACACCGGCTCGGTTGTGATGAAAAACCTGGAACCATCTTTCACTGAGACTTTAAGGTCACAGTGGCCTCCTTTAGCAGGAGAAGAGTTCCAGCGGTTTGATAGATTCCAGAAGGGAAGCAGCAACACAGCTGGCTGGAATCTGGCAATTAAGAGGCAGAGGAGTCACTCACTTGCCAACGAGACTTTCACCGGAGAAATGGGCAGAAAACTCAGAGGTGGATCGGGAGCTGGGAATGAAGGGAAATTCATTCATTCCACACATACTTGTTTAGCTCGGCAATGGGCTGGGCACTGTCTTAGGGGCTAGGAAGGCAGCAGTAAGTGAAACTTACGTTGCAGTAGCAAAAGAAGAGGAGAGGCAAATGGCGCTGAGCATTTGATGTGAGAGGCGTAGTCCCAGGTCAAGGGAACCTCAGCGGTGAGCCACGGGGTTTTTTGAAGCATAATAATAAACTCTCATAGTTTTAGGTTGTCTTCTGCCAAGCTCTCTGCTCTCTTGGTGAGTATTACTAGTCCCATTTTAGAGATGTAATAAGTAAGTCCTAGAAATTTAAGTCAGCTGAGCTTTGAACACAGTTCTGCCTGAATCCAAAGCCTCTGTCCTTTCATCTTTGTCTCATGGTCCGTCAGTGGCTTCTACATCCTGCCCTAGAGCTGTGAGCAGCGCCCTGTCCCCAGACCTCCCTCCTTCTCCCACTGCACTTCTCCAGGGGTACATTTCACAGCCAGCTCTCTGGGGGAAAGGAGACTGATGAGTAGCATTTGCCAGTTTCTCTGGTGTAAATACTCTCACCTTGACCGACTTCATGTTCCCAACATAACAACACAGACTTGGGAAGAGATGGGTGTTAGGACCCATTAAATAGCCTTTCTGTCCTTCTGATTCAATAGACATTAGTAACCTCAAGAGCACAGATAATAGTAAAAAGGGAGTCAAATAACTGGAAAGTGATGAGTCCTGAGTGTTCATTACCTTTGTTTTTAGTGTAATTTATTTTGATGTAAGTTTATATGCTTTAATTCTTAATATTGGTTGTGCTTTAAAAGCTAGCTTGACAATGGGACAGTGGACTCAGGAGCTGTTATGAGACGGCTGCACACCACTGTCCTCTCTCTTGAAGGGTTCTTTCCCTCTGCGTGTGTTTCCTGGTGAACACCCACAAATCTTTTGGGTCTCCTTTTCCACATTTCCCTCATCTCGCTCACCTGTAGCCTTCCCGTTTTTGTTTTATTTGTTTTAATCTTTGAAACTCATGTTAGCCTCAAAAAAAAAAAAAGAAGACTGCATTCTCTTTGAAAACATAACATGCACTAGGGGATGCAAAAGTTTCATCGCTAAATATTAGAAGCATCTTGGTTGAGGAGTGTTTGTTGTCTGATGGTAAAATGAGACCTGGAAATTAAGAGGTTTTTTCTGTATGGTCCCAGATGAATTTGACTTTTCTGTTTTCACAATTTGGTAATGCTTTTCTAAATCCCCTCCCCAAAGAATGACATTCCTACCAATTAAACTAGGACTCTAGACCAAATACAGTTCATTGGTGCTAATTATAAACTCCCTAAGGATTTATTTCAGCCTCTCCTTCTACATGGACCCCAAAGAACAAAGAGATTTTGGAAAACATAAATCAGAGACAGTCTAACCGGGGTGATGAAAAATTGAAACATGAAAACTGACAATCAGTGTGTCCTCCAAAATGAATGTAAAGTTGATGGAGGTTTTCTAATTAATTTTTGTCCGTTTTAGGTTTTCGGGACAATATATGTGATTTGTTTGCTCTGTGAATGGCTTATATTGAGCCCAGATTTCCAAATGTGCCATACTGAATAAACAGTTCCCAGAGTAGCTCTCAATTACAAGTACAGCAGTTTATTTTTAAAATCCCTTTACCCGAGCTGCGTTTGTCTTTACTTTTAAGTTTTTGAAAGACGCAGTGCTTTTGCTCCTTCCTACAGGCTGTTTTTCACTGTAAAACAGAAAACTGACAGTTGGCAAAGCAAAAAGTTTCCAAACCACAGGGTGTCTGCTACTTGCATAATCACCAAAGCCAAAATTTCCATTTTCTACCCAGCGACCGACCGGAGAACTTCTTTTCTGGTCAACCTGGGCTGCAGACAGGAACGAAAATCCCCCACAGCCCATGGGCTGTGTTCTCAGCTTCTCTTGGTTCCACTCTGTGACTTTTCCTGTTTACAGAGTCTGTGCCCTCCCATTTTTTCTTTTCTTTTTTGACTCATTGATACTGTACCATGGTGTCTAAAAATACAGCCTAACAACTGGTTTTAAGTAAAGAGGATGTTTCTTTCTGGAGGGGGGAAAGAAAAGAGCAGAAATATCCTGCATGGTTTTCTGAAAATAAACATTGGACAGTCTCTCATCAGGGCCTCATCTGAGTTTCTAATTGGAAAGCGATGCGGAGCTTGTGTTTATATAGAAAACGCTGCTCTCACGGCAGCTGCTTCCAGGAAGCTGTATCACCTGCTTTCCCCTTTGTCGTCTGAGGGGCTTCTTCTTGAACTTGGCTCTGCCCGCTCCTAGCTGGGACCCCTGGGCAAGTGATTTTCGAGCTCTTGGCAGTCTCAGCTTCTTCGGAGTAAAATGAAGGGCCAAAAATATCTGTTTCACAGGGTGGCTGTGAGAATTCAATGGATAAAATATACGTCAAAGCAGAGAATGAAGGCAAAGCCATCGACGTGTATTTGTTTCCATTCTGTGTTGGTGAGAACAGCTAGCCCAAGATGTGATCTGCTCACTGTCCGATAAGGAGCAAGAAGTTTGCGAGAGTTTCCCCTACTTGGTGCACACAGGCAGCTATAAATGGTGGCTTTGAGTTTATCTGTTGATTATCACTGAGAAATCAGAATGGAATTAATCCCCTACTATTGGGTTGCCCTCTCTCTCCAGGGTTTAACTGATGGATTGATTTTCAACTCAAAGATGGCAGCTTGACCTCTTAATAATCCAGGAGAACTTCTTTCTTGAGAAAAATAATTTCAGCCAACAATAAATAACCACCTACAGTTAACATAATAGCACTCAACAGCCTACAAATCATTGCCACTAATTGCTGGACTCACGGCACAAGGGCAGAGCTCTGATAAAGCATGTCAGGCCCTTTGCACAGACCCTAACATGCCATCTATGCCCAGTGAATAGAGTGTGTGCCTGGTGATGTGAGTATCATCTGTACCTTTGAGATAAATTTTGGGTTCAACCTGCCTTCATACAAGAGACAAAGCTAAATGAGGTTGATTCTTACTATTCCCATTTTACAGGGGTAGAAACTGAGGTTTAGAGAGACCCTGGTTTTTCACGCCATATTCTTAGTTACTTGGCAAAAGCTGGGTCACAAACCCAGGCCTCCTGATTCTAAATCCTGTGCACCTGTCAGTGATACCAGGCTGCTGTCTCCTGGTGGCTGTCAGTTCCAGACTTGATACATTGTTCCCTTCCCTTCCCTTGCTTCCTTCCTTCTTTCTCCTGCTTTCTTTTTTCTCTTCTTTCTTTCTTCGTACCTGGCTTTTCTTTTCACCAGCCTTATGAGATCCGGCGATATCCTGACAAGTGATCGTCTGTTATGAGAATGCCCTCCCCAGGGAGGGTCTGCTAAAGCTGACCCAAATTGCTTGCCAGGTTGATGCGAGAGCTGCAGAAATGGCTGTCCACTGGCTTGCCTTTCTTGTTTGCTTTTCTCCAACCTCTGCCAGGCAGAAAGGGGCTAGCCGTGGCATACTCATCCAGAAAACATGGTGTCCCTCCAGTCTCTCCTGGGAGCCCCGGTCAAGGGCAGTGGTTCAATATGAGTTCTCCCCATCAGTTTCCTCGGGTCTCATGCTTCCTAGGTAAGAAGTGAGTTTCAAAGTGCATTTTGCACAAGTTCAGAACTTAACTCCGTCGCCATCTGAGCTATTTCAGAGCCCTTATTGTTACCTGAAAATGTCTTGTGTGTTTCATTGTTAATAGTTCTTTTCTTCTCCTTATCTCTGAGCAGTTGTTCTCGACCAGGGACAGTTTGGTCTCCCAGGAGACATCTGGCAGGGTCTGGAGGCGTATCTGGTTGTCACAAGGTGGGAGGGAGTGCTGGCGTATAGTGCATAGAGGCCAGGGATGCTGCTACCAGTCCTACAGTGCCCGGGGACAGTGCTCACAACGAAGAATTACACGGCCTCAAGTGTCAATAGCTGAGAAATCCCACTGTAAGGCAAGCTCCAAAGACAGTGCCCTGTGGGTCTCATTTGTGGGTATATATTAGTACCCAGAACAGTGCTCACACTTAGGAAGTGCTCTGTGAATATGAGTTGAGTGAATGAGTGAACATGTGATCCAGAGCTTTTCCGCGCTGAATTAACTGCCCTGGGTGCTCGACTACATCTTAAGCCCAGAGTAATGATGGAATCAGGCCCAGGCAGCCACATAACCAGTAAATATCATCGTGTACCCAGAGTATTCCCATAAGCTGGCTGCCCAAGAGGTGGGAGTTATTCCATCCTGACACTCACTGAAAATCATTAACAAACACACAGACACCGCTTTTAGCAGCTGCTCATATTTCTTCAGGGTAAGGCCAGGAGATAGCCAAAGAATGGTGATTGCAGTGACCTTGTTCCTCCTCTGGTCTTGCTTTCAGATAGTGGCTGGAAGCAGGCAGCTTTGCTTTGGTGGATCTAGATCAAGCTGTTCCAGAACAACATTAAGATGTGGCGATCCAGATGCTGTGTAAATTGCATAAACTGTGTAATTTAATGTGGAAGACCAGTCAATGGGGAATACCTTGTAACAGGAGGAATACAGGACAGTAGCGAGGGGCAAGGACTCTTCCTGGCTCTGTGAGCTTGTGGGCTGGGATCGGCCACTTACCTTCTCTGAGCCTCAATGTTCTCCCCCATACAGTGAAGCAGCATTGGAGTCTGCCTCACAGGGTTGTTATGAGTGAATTTGAGCAGCCCGTGTAAGTAGAAGAAAGGTCTCTGGACTGTGCCAGCACACAGCAGCCGTTTACTCGCATTTTTCCTGAGACAGATTGCTCGGTTACTCAGTTTCTTCTGCGGTCAACCAAATTCTCCCCTTCTTTATCAGAACCCCCAGCCCTGGCCCATTTTCCTTTCTTCCTCTGCTTCTTTCATGGCCACCTGCACTTCTTCCTCTCTTACTGTCTCTCGTTTTTCGACTGCAGTCCCTAGGAACCTGCAAGGGATGCACGGGAACCCTGCTCTGATACCACTAATGGGTCCTGAGATGCTACCCCAGGGCAGAGCACCGTGACCCGAGACACGTTACTGAACCTCTCTATGCTTCGGTTTTGCCACCTGTAAAATCTAAACGTAGGGTTGTTAACAGCATGAAAGAAGATACTGCCCATAAGAAGTGCTGAGCGCTCACGTGATGTGTCCTGTGTGTTTCATAGAAGCTCGGAGAACCACTGATTGATACTGAAAAGAGAAGTTCCCAGTAGTTGCACGCTGGGAAGGCAGGCGCTGTCTTGAAAGACCTTGAGGGGAAGTCACAGCTGACCGGGATCGGAGACGTCTGTGTCAGTCTAGGCCGCTCCCTGCACGAGTGTCAATGGCTCACATTCAGTCAGCACCCAGAGATGATATAAAGGCACGCTGTTCAGCTGAGGTTGACATCATTTGGGCAAAATCTAAAACTCCGTCTGCTCAGTTGATCCCAAAGTAAGAATGTCCTGATCCGTCCCTTCTACCTTTCTCTGTTTCCTCCAGAGTATCTCATCTCATGAGGGGTTCACAGCACATCTTGTTCTCTGGGTAGAAAGCTTTTTTTTTTTTTTTTTGCTATGTAAGTCTATCTGGGCCAAAGCTTGGGAGATGTTTTTGGAACATCCTCCATGCTCTACGCATTTCAATCATTTGTGAATTTATTTCCTTGGTAGCTGTGTCTAGATTCTAGAAGTTAAAGTGTTCCTTACCTGAGCAGATATTTATTGTCTGCATTCTTTATTTTTTTTTAATTTTTTTACTTTTAGGGAGAGGTAATTAGGTTTACTTATTTATTTATTTTTAGAGGAGGTGCTGGGGATTGAACCCAGGACCTTGCGTATGCTAAGCATGCGTTTACCACTTGAGCTGTATCCTCCCCTTCTATTGTCTGCATTCTTACCATGCTCTAGGCACTGTTCCGGGCTCTGGGGATACCGTGGTGAACAAATCCCCCAAGGTCTCTCCTGTGACATTTCTAGTCTGCTAGTGAAAGATGGAGAAGGATAAACAAACAGCAAGAGGAGAAATATTAGCTCTAAAGGAAAGAAAGCAATGTGGTATGAGAGACAGTGGCCAGGCTGTACTTTACCCTGAGGGCAGGGAAGGTCTCTGGGAGATGGTGGCCTTTGATTTAACATCTAAAAGATGCGAAAGCACCCAGTCACGCCGCCCTCTGGGAAAAGAGCATTCCAGACCAAGGGAACAGCATATGCGGAGTCTCAAAGCAGGGACAAGCCCTCATTCTGAGGAAGCATAAAGGTCAGCCTGGCTGGTGTCTCAAGGCAGGGCAGATGGATTGGAAATTAAGTTAAAGAGGGTGCGGGATCGGGTCATGCGGACGTTATTGGTGAGGCAAGGCGTTAGATTCTCCAGTGTGTTGCTTGAGAAGCCATTGGGAAAGTGAGGGGAGTGGATCTGTATTCTAGAGCCATCACTCACGTGGCCATACGGAGACTGGACTCAGAAGCACGGAGCCCTGTGAGGCAGCTCACATCCAGGCCAGAGATGATGGTGGCTTAGACTCTGGATAGGTCACCCCCCAAAAAAGTCCTGAGGCAAATCACTTTAATGAGGCAGGCCCTCTTTTGCTGAACTTTCAGAAAAGGTCAAGAGGGAATGGGAGAGAGGAAATAAAGATGCTGGCTGCTTCCTTACCAAGCTTTCATATACCGTGTTCCAAAGAGCTGCTAAGGCAAAACTAAAGTAGGCTGGGGTTCTGGTCTTTTATTGTAGTTGCTGTTTCCTGATGTTTTCCAAGCGGCCTCCAGTTGGTAGGAAGGATTCCTTCCCCCCACCCCCCACCTGTCTTGACTGCCCTTTAGGTTTTTGTTTTGTTTTGTTTTGTTTCTGACTCTCCTAAGTCAGGTAGTGGGATGGGGGTTGGAGTTGGGAGGGATGGTAGTTCACTCACCTCTGAACCCCCACCATGGGCTACATATCGGGGTGCTCCACGAAGCCAGAGCTGTGGCCTGCGGCCAGCTCTCACTTCCCTTCTGATCTTCCTCATTTAACCACTGACCAGATGCGGAAGGTCATTCCACCCGCATTCAGCGCTTACCCTCTGAGGACCTGCTCTATCAGCCGGGGAGCAAACGCAGGGCAGCCACCGAGGTGGGAGCTTTAATCCAACGTGCACAACGTTAGCCCCTGAATTCCTGAGGTTGGGTGAGGGAGGGAGAGACGGGAAGGGTATCACGTTGGGATGGGGGGTTGTCGAGCGAAAGTTTGCAGAGCGGTCAGTTTCTTCCATGTTTTCTACTCCACGTGAAGCATTGCTGCCGTTAGCTGCCACTGAGTAGGGGTCAAATCTGAAGCGGTTCCGATGATCTCTGTGGGGTTCGAGGGTGATTTTTGAATGTGTAGATGTAATCAGCGTGATCCGTGAACAGCTCCCTTCGAATATAACTCCTTTTGCTGAAATGGGAAGAGAAAGCATCAATGGGAGTCATGTTTGAAAATAAATAAGAAATGCCCAGTTGTTCTTTTCCTTCTTGTGATTGCAGTATTTTTTTTAATTAAAAAAAAATCTGTTGGGGAAAAAGAAGTGCATTTGCCTAAGATGGTGTTTAGCGGCTGAGTAACCTTGTGCTCACTACGTATTCTCTGTCCAGCCTGCAAGTCGGAGACCTGAGTTTTATTATCTAAAGTTTCACGTGTACTGTGTAGCAATTTGCAATTTTTAAAGATTATCCTGCATTTAAAGTTGTTATAAAATATTGGCTATTTTCCCTGTGCTGTACAATATACCCTTGTAGCTTATTTATTTTATACATAATAGTTTGTACCTCTTAATCCCCCAGCCCAATCTTGCCCCTCCCGCCTGCCCTCCCCCCACTGGTAACCACTCTACATCTGTGAGTCTATTCCTTTTCCCAGGGTCTCACACTGACAAGCTGTGTGTCCCATTGGGCACATCTTTCCTTAATTTCTAGTTCTGCCATTTAGGAATCTTGTGATTATTATTATAATCTCTCTAATAACCTCCTTCCCCTGTGATATTGGGAGATGAGACTCCCTGCCTCGTGTGAGGATCACGCAGGTTGGCTCTGTTCATACCTGCAAAGTGCTTAGCGCAGTGCCTGGAACTGAGACAGCGTCTGCCATTAATGCTGTTATTCGTGTTACTAAAATGCTCAGCAGGGACACAGATGGCACGTGGGAACTGGTGGTCCCCGCTCTCTTTTTGTTTCTGCACCATCAGCTCTGGAGAATGTTTCTGCCATGTGCTTGTTAATTTTACCTGCCGTTTCTCTTCTTTAAGATGGGTTAGTAAGATTCCTCCCATTAAAAACCTTTTCTTCTTCTTTTACTTCAATTTAGAAAAAAAAAAAAAAGAAAAAGGAAAAATAAATAAATCAGTGCATCATGGGGCTCTCATACACAGAATAGGAAATATCATCCGTAATATTGTGATAATTTCAAATGGTGACAAATGGTAAGACTGTGGTCATCATCTCACCATGTCCATAAATATTGAATCACTATGTTGTGCACCTGAAATTAATATAACATTATTTGTAACATATACTTCAATTAAAAAAAATGGCTGCAAGAAAACACACCTTTTTTAAAACATGGGAGGATAAGTGGATTGCAGAAAAGTTTAGCTGTTTCCTTGTTAATTTTCAAGCAAATGGGGACCATAAGAAGCGGTGTATTTCACTCTCCAAGACGTTAGACTGAAAGCTGTCAGGATGTTGCTTCTGAGGCTTGGAAAGATTAAGTAACCTCTTTAAGGTGATGCAGCTAGTAAGAGATAAGATACAATTTGAGCCCAAGAGTGACTTAGCACAGAGTCCCAGTAATTCTCACGCCTTGTTTCCTGGCACTTGAACCTAGGATGCCCCCTTCAGAGGCTTGTATAGAGGTGGTATCACTACTTTTTTTTTAATCTTAAAGAAGAGAACATGAATGGTGTTTGTATTCTGAAGCCTCTCCTGTTTTTCTCTTGCCATCACGCACAAACACATCGGTTCATGCTTTGTCCCTACGTGGCTTGGATTTCCAGTTTTATCCCCCTCAACTTTGTTAGAAACTCTGTTGCAGTGGAGGCTCTAAATGAGGACTCCTTGACTTTTGGTCATTTATTTTCAAATACTATATGTCGATGAGGGTCACGGTCAGGTGTCAAGCACTTTGCCTGGGGCACAGCAGGCTCTCAGTGACGTCTGGTTGTGTCTCTTCCCTGGTACCACGTGAACTTACAAGGGGTTGGCTTATTCACATAACAGAGCTTCTTGGCAGATAATAAATATTTGTGAGCCGGAGACCACACACAACATCTAACGGAGGGACCTGCTCTGCCCTATCCTGGCCATGTGTGGCCGTGAAGGAAATCCAGCCCAGTGTTTCTGGATCTTATCATCTAAATATTTATTAAGTAGCATCTCCTGATTTCTAATTTCATCAACTGGAATTTATTCATGAGCATTGTTTTAACCAACAAAATACATCCACCACCTTTCAACCTTTGGTTTAATCGACAAGAGCGGGATTTTCTATTGTTATCGACAATCAAATCAGCCCTCTGCCCTCCCAAAGAGCCATCATCCCATGTAGGTAAGGGCTTGGTGAACAGTGAACGTGGATGTGTCAGCGTGGACGTAAACCTGTGGCACAGTTCCCCCCACCCCACCCCATTCCCCTGCACTGCCTTCTCCAGCTTGTGTGTGTGTCATTACGTCACACAGTGGGCTGTTTGTTGAGTCCCTCCACCTGCCCCCCAGATGTCAGCCTCTCTCTCGGCTGTTGCACTGTCGTTGGTGGGAGCATCAGTGATTCTGAGTGGATGACTTTACCGTATTAATAACATCACCTGGGCAGTCCACCCTCTGGAATCTTTGGCCTTGGTTTAGGTATCTGTGCTAGCTCATGAAGATGCTTGTGGTGGCAATAAGCAGACTCCACTCAAGTTAGCTTGAGAGAGAGAGAGACAGGGGATTTATTGAAGGAATACAGGGATGTTCCATGGAACTTAAAGACTAGGATTCACCCAGACCCATGGAAGGGGCTAGAAGTGGCTGGAAAGACGTGAAGAACCCTGACGCAAGCTTTTTTTCCTTTCTTGCCTCCATCTAGCTACCTGTCTCCTTCATTCTCTCTGCGGATGGTTCTCCTTTTCCTCCACACACAGCAGACCATGGCTGCCCCACAACCACCATATTTTCATCCACTCAGACTTATTTCCAGATTCCCTGGTCTGAGGTTCTGATTGGCCCAGCCTGAGTCAGGGGTCTTTTCCCTGGTCCAGTCAACTGAGGCCAGAGGGGCAGGACTATGTTGTGCAAATATGGGCTTCATTGCCTGTGTTTGTCATGAGACGGACAACCCCCCCCCAAAATTTACTATTAAATTTTCCAGGATAAACTTGTGTGTGGACAAAAGTAATTGACTAGATTAAGGGAGACCTGGAGAAAAACAGAAAGGAGAAAAAAATTTTTTTCCCAATCAGGGAATGAATTCAGTTGGATTATGCAACAACAGAGTACCTTGAACTATTTTATGAATTTTGACATATTCCTTAATGGAGTCATATCGTTTCCATTGATCTTTTGAATATGATTTTATTATACTGTTCTGTAGAGTGTGTACCTGGGGGTTTGCTTGGGTGGGTTTTACAAAAGAGGTAAAATGATTTAAACCGACACATTGATTGAGTTCCTCCCGTAGTACAGAAGAGTAGAAAAAAAGGACTTTTTTTTTCCAGTTAGACATTAATTCAAATCTTAACTTGGTTTTTTCTTGCCCAGGTAGCTTTGAATAAATTACCTTAAACTCCGTGCCTTGGTCTTCTTGTCTGTAAAATGGGGATGTTGCCATATTGCAGAGCTTTGTGGAGCTTTTAATGAGATGATTTCCATAGAGTGCCCATATTAGTGCCTGAAAGAAATAAAGATTTTGTTCTCCTTCCTTTTGCCACTAGAGATGTGTATGTGACTTGACTTTGCAGAGTTAAGGACATCACCAAAGGCCAGCCATGTAAAGCTTGCCCACTTACCTCTTAGAACCACTTTGGAGGTTCCTATGGGCCATATCTCCATAATACCATGATCTCACTAACTGAGGTAGCTTTTAGACTTTTAGAGCAGAGCTCAGTCAAAAATGTAAGTGCAGGGGGGAGGGTGTAGCTCAGTGGTAGAGGGCATGCTTAGCATGCACGAGGTCCTGTGTTCAATCCCCAGTACCTCTTCTAAAAAATAAATAAATGAAATTACCTCCTCCCCCCCAAAAAATTAATACATTAAAAAAATGTAAGTGCAATATTGTAATTAGTATTTTTCACATTAAAAACAGGTTGCTTATCCCACTCTGAGCCCGAATTTTCTCTTCTGAATTGGAGATAATGACACCAATCCCAGAAGGTAACTAAACAGCTCAGAGATAATAATACTATGAAACTTCCTGAGCAATGCTAAATGTATACTTCGCGCTCAGTAATTTTCTTTGTAAATTGGGTTGATATATATCTGCGTGTCCAGGTCTCACAGTTTTGTGCAACAGCTGAGAGACAAAGTACTGGCCATGCTTTTTAGCAGTGACTCAGCACTTCCACACCCATGGGCAAAACTGGAGATGCAGAAATCACTGTGACATTGCTTATGACAGCAAAAGGCTGGAAACAACCTAAATGCTTCTCAGCAGGAGAGTCATTAAATTATCATATGTCAGCACGATGACTTGATACTATAGAACTATTGAAGAATGAAGTTGACCTATATGTGTTGACATTGGGAAGATTTCCAAGAAATACTGAATTAAAGAAGTAAGGGCAGGGGAGGAGGGTACAGCTCAGTGGTAGAGCGCATGCTTAGCATGCACAAGGTCCTGGGTTCAATCCCCAGCACCTCCATTAAAACAAACAAACAAACAAATCTAATTACCTCCCCCCCACACACATACACACACACAAAAAGTAAGGGCAAAACAGTGAGTAGAGTGTAGTCCCAACTGAACTGAAAAAAGCACACACAAATATACATATACACACACACACCACAGTCACACACAAGAATATTAGGAGTACTTGCTTCATTTCAGAACAATATGTCCAACATAATAATATTAAAGTAAAACATTTAACATGGGAATAGATTTTTTAAACATGTGCGTGTATATTTCTGAAAACCCATATAAAGATGGTCAGTGAGGCTTCTCAAACTGACGGTGATCATTTCTGCAGGGAGGATGATTTGAGGCATAAATTAATCCAAGGGGATCTTTGCTCTCTATATATTGTTTAAATGTTTTACAAGGGCTAAGTTCCCAGTATTGCAATTGTAAGTGCTAAAAATTAAATATAATTAGAAATCTGTACCTCAGACTGTTCTTACCTACGTGTCTTCACTGTTCTTACCTGTTAGTTAGTTAGTGATCACCACAAAGGGCGAGCCAGAGTTGCAAAAATGGGGACTTTCCATTTTAACTTTAGTATCATTTGTTTTTCTTCCTGTAGTTAGGCACGTATTGTATTTATTAAACCATACCAACAAATAAAACCATTTTCATTTGAAAAACAAAATAGTGATTCAAGGGGAAAATACAGTAGTTTCCTCTGGGAAAGAAACCTACTTTTCATCACATAATTTTGTGACACGCTTGTATCGATATTATTTTTTCAACATAGTGACTGGTCTTGGCTTTTCATTCTTTTTTCTTTTAAATCCAAGAGCTAAAAAATCTAAGAATAAATCCAGGCGCTGATGCCCTATAATAAATCTGTGTATGACCTGTTGGTTAATTAACTCAACTGATGCCAGTTTTAGGCTGAGTGCATCACGTGCAAAAGAAACGGTAAATCAAGTTCAAGGGTTTGCCCGCCAGCCCCAGCCTGATACCACTCTTGCTGTCTTGTCCCCACAGATGACAGAAGGCAGGCACTGCCAGGTGCACCTGCTGGATGACAGGAGATTGGAGCTGCTGGTTCAGGTAGGTGTTGCCACTCAGGGACAACCCATCCTGGTTCCCTCCATGGGCCTTATGGCCTGTGTTCACTCTGCTCGCTTATCTGTGCCTCAAAGCCAGTGATGCAGGATTGTCTGCAGGGGATACAGGGAGCTTCAAAGCCAGGAAACCTGATCTGTATTTAAGAGTAACGACAGCCTGGTGCCAGGATTCAGAGATGTTTGAGTTCTGATCTCAGCTTTGACACTCAGTGGCTGTGTGACCCTGGGAAAGTCACTTTACTTCTCTGAATCACCTCTTGTTGGTAAACTGGAGGCCGTAATGCTTCCCTGATAGCTGAGACTCTGCATTCTGCCACTTTACCTGCGATAGTCCAAGTGAAATACCCAGTTTAAACAGCTGTGAACTGGGATTAAGATTGCCTAACCTTCCTCATAGAATTATGGCTAAAACCAAGCTAGATTAGGTATGTGAATGAAATCTCTGTAAAACAGATGGGACTTTATGAGTCATGGTATCTTAATTATTCATGCCTCTCTCTTCATTCACCTAACACTGTGGACCCAGAGTCATAACAAGTTGTGGAGGTGCCTGGTGACAGCCACACCTGCAGCTGTGACGAGAATTCTCTCCTTTGCCCAAACCTAAATGCTTCCCCTTTCTGAGGCTCATCCCTTGTCTACTGTGTGTAGGACTCAATTACAACGAAAATAGTGCAGTCAGCAATAGTTTCAACAGAGCAGACCTTTTAGTTTAGATATGTCTGTTTCTTTTCTTTTCTTTTTTCTTTTCTCTTTCTTCTTCTTCTTCTTTTTTTTTTTTTTTTAAATCATGACCGTTCTTTCTTCCTCAACAGCAAACATCCAACCTTCAAACCACCATAATGAACCCTAAACTGTTTGGCTCAAAGTTCAAAAAAAGTCCATCTAGAAGGCTCCCCATGCATAGCCCCTTTTCCTTCCCCAGTCCCTGCAAATCCAGCTTCCACTGTCAGTATGGACATTCTGGCTGTCTCCAAACCATGCTTCTTTCCACTGGGGCCAGTGCTTCCCAAAGTCCATAGATAGATTCTTCTTCTGATTAGATGCCCAGTTAATACTGGTGGTGATGATCTGTACAATGGGTACAATTACTCCATCCCTAGAGAGAGATGAAAAGCTTAGTCTTTGGAATCAAAACTTGAGTTCAAATCCTGTCTTTACTAACTGACATCAAGCAAGGTGCTGGACTTCTCTTGGCCTTTGTTGACTCATCTATAAAATGGAAATAAGAACCCCTACTTCACAGGCTCATTGTAAGGATTAAGTGAAATAAGGGGTACAAAGAGTCCAGCACAAAAAAATGGTAACTATTATGATTGTGTTGTTGTTGTTAGTTCTCTCAAGACTTGGGTCTTGAGCCTCTTCAATTGGCCACCACTAAGCAGAGTTACTCAGATAATCTAGGCAGTGTTTAATATTCTTTGTCTTGATCACTTCTACCATACTACCTATAAAAGAGCATTTTTCCCCAAAACACCGAAGCATTAGTAAACACACTTTCACCTTAGAGGGAAAAATGAGGTACTGGACTGAACTGCAGATATAGGAAAATCATGGTCACATTTATGTCCCTATTCCTATTTCCTCCCCTCCTCAAACCCTTAGAGGCTGATCTACAGTAGATTAATCTAAGCAGAAAAGGGCATGGGGATTTAAAAACAAACAGAGGCTGCTTCAAACCGTTTGAGACACAGGAAGGTGGTGGCAGTGAGAGAGAGCGGCAGCCAAATTGTCTCTAATTGGATTTTTATCTTGACAGCCCAAACTTTTGTCAAGAGAGTTGCTGGACCTCGTGGCTTCGCATTTCAACCTAAAAGAAAAGGAGTACTTTGGAATCACGTTTACAGATGACACGTAAGCGTTTTGATAGTTTTCTTTTTTTTTTTAACTTTTGAATGACTTTTATTTTACTTTTTTTAACTGAAATACTCATCTATGAAACAGAAATAGGCTCGCAGACATAGTAAACAATCTTATGGTTACCGGGGAAAGGGGGTGGGAAGGGATAAATTAGGGAGTTTGAGATTTACAAATGTTAGCTACTACATATAAAAATAGATTTTTTAAAAAGTTTCTTCTGTACAGCACAGGGAACTATATTCAATATCTTGTAATAGCCTTTAATGAGAAAGAATATGAAAACGCATGTATGTCTGTATATGCATGACTGGGGCGTTGTGCTTTTCACTGGAAATTGACACGGTGTAACTGACTGTGATTTTCATTTCTTTACCATTTGTCTGAACTACCTGTGTGCATCATTTACAACTGGCAAAACGGGGGAAAGGCTCCAAGAATTAGAATATGCCCTGCTTAGCTAAAGATTTTTGACTATAAGATTTTTCTCTTAGGATTGTTGTAAAAGGAGAAGAAAAGGAACACTGACCATTCTAAGAACTCAAATATTGTCCTAAGTGCTTTAGAAATTTGTTGCAATGGGTGACAGTCCCTTTTTACATTTCTTTGAATCCACTTGTGCTTACTTATTTAGCTTATGCATCAGTGATGGAAATACTAGAGTGTCATCCACTCGTATCTTGAAACTGAATTACTGTTTGGATTTGGTGGCAACAAAGTTTAAAGGCAATTTTGTGGCCCATTCGCCAAATATGTATATAGTTTAATGCTGAATGAACTTCAGTGAACTTTTTAACTTCCACCTAAGTTCATTTTATGTTACCCCCTTACTATCATTTTTTTCTTTTACTTACTTTTTTTTATGCTAACTTGGATGTTGTATGTATTTGTCAACAATTTAAGTCCTCTCTGAAATGAGACTGGTATATAACAATGAATTCATAAGAATTTTTTGGTTTTGGTTTTGTTTTGTTTTGTTTTGTTTTTGGAGGAGAGGGAGGTAATTAGGTTTGTTTGTTGTTTGTTTATTTGTTTATAATGGAGGTACTGGGGATTGAAACCAGGATCTCAAGCAAGCTAAGCATGTACTCTACCCCCCCCCAAAGCTAATTCTTTTTTTTTTTTTTTTTTTTGCAGGGGAAGGGTAATGAGGTTTTCATTTATTTATTTTAATTTTATTTATTTATTTAATAGAGGTACTGGGGATTGAAACCAGGACCTCGAGCATGAATTCATAAGAATTTAAAACTCCATGCAAGCAAATGTGTTTGGTCTTGTTACCACCTCTTTTCTGCGTATGTGTGTATGTGCATATTTTATGGCAGCCTGACTTGCCTTCATTATATATGCAGGTTGTTATATCAGAAGAGTTCTTCCCTTTTATAATTTCCAAACAGCTCTTCAACTATTAACATTCAAGAAAATGTGTTCCAGAAACAAATTATAGTGGCTGACCACCCACAGCATACTTTCCGTCACTCTCCCAATTTAAATGCTTTTAGGTTCTTCAGGTTTACCAGGCAGGAAATAATCTCCAGAAGAGGTTAATTTGTTTTTAACGCTTTGTGTCTTCTGAGTATTTCCAGCCTGGGTGTGCTGCGAGCCTCAGACCTCCTGGAAATGCCCATGTGTTCAGGGCTTGGGCAAAATACAGAACAGCTGAATTGTTAGGAGACACAGAAGAACCTGAAAACTTTGATTTCAGACTCAGGATGTTTCCCGAAGGGAGCGGGACAAAAGCAGGAAAAAAGTGCACTTAACATCACCCACCTCATTCTGTATCACAAAATTAGCTGTTCACTCAACAGCCATCCGAGACGGTGTACGGTCAGCCCTCTGCTGGAGGAAATGGGAAATGCAGCTGTCCATGAAGCACAGAATCTCACAGGAAAGACAGGACTAGTACATGTGAATCAGTGATTAAACACACACATACAGGTTGGATCTGAATGTGAATGAAATCATGGCAAACAGCATAAGACTTAAAACCATAAATACATGATAGCTAAGTTATATGGTAAAAACCATAAGAATACAAACATGGGGGAAGGGTATAGCTCAGTGGCAGGGTGCATGCTTAGCATGCACGAGGTCATGGGTTCAATCCCCGGTATCTCTTCTGAAAATAAAGAAATAAGTAAACCTAACACCCCCCCCCAAAAAAAAGGATACAAACACTACTTTGGGAAGAGGTCACTACAGTAGTAAAAGCTAAAATCATGAATATTAAAGTAATCTATCCATTCAACAAATACTTCTGGAGTGCCACTAAATACCAGGCATTGTTCTAGGTTCCAGGGGTTCAGCTGTGAACAACACAGACCCAGTTCTTGTTCTCCTGGAGCTTATATTGCAGTGATATGGTCCAGCAGGACCGGAAAATAAATAGATAAATGAGAAAATACCAGAAGTGACAGTGCTTCGAAGAACAGGAAATGAGAAGGCGTGATCAAGAAAAGCTGGGGAGGGGGGAGGGTATAGCTCAAATGGTAGAGCACATGCTTAGCATGCCTGAGGTCCTGGGTTCAATCCCCAGTCCCTCCTCCAAATGTAAATAAATAAACCCATAAAACAAGAGGGGAAAAAAGAAAGAAAAGCTAGGGGCCAGTCTTAGGGTAGACCAGGAAAGCTTCTAAAAGGTAAGATATGATAAAAAGCAAGAACCAGTTCTGTGGAAGTCTGGGGAGGCATTCCCCATGAAAGCCAGTGCAGAAACTCTGAGGTGAGAACCAGCTTGATTTTTGGGTCTTTATTTTTTATTTTGGGGAAAGGAGGGGGAAAAGTCAGTATGACTGGAATATAGCGAGTAAGAGGAAAAGTGGTACAAGGGTTGAGAAGGAGGCAGGGGTGGAGATCATAGAAGCTTGGTAGCTATGTGATCTTAGGCTTGGTAGCTCTGTGATGTGAGACTTAGTATCTCTGACACTCAAGTTTTCTTATCTGTCCAGTGGACATCATAATAGTAATGAAATAACAAGTACTATATAAGGTCCATATAATAGGGTCACAGCATTATACAATGATTCAGGAAAGTTTGCAGAGCCCAGGCACACAGCAAAGGGGAGCTATCATCCTCTTGTTAGTAGGCGTGGCAGTAAGATGTATTCTGAAAAGAGGTTTGAGAAGGACTTAGCTGAGAACCCACACAGGAGGGAGACTGGGAGGCAGTTAGACCTTAGGAAGAGGGGAGAGGAGATGGCATTCCAGGGAAGAGTCACTTTGTGGGCCAGTGCACGGACATGGTAATGAACCTGGTACTTCTGCCCACTGGTGAGGTAACTGGCCTGATGGTGGAGTAAGATATAAGAGGGACAAGCTCATAGGTGGCCTCTGAGGACCAAGTAGATGGAGAAGGCACGCCGAGGCCACTGGAGGATGTGATACAGAGGAGTGACACGATTAATGACTGTGGTGTTGCAGGTGTCCCAGGCTACAAAGTTCACGGTGGGCTGGAAGGGCGTCTTGGTCACATATCAGGCTTCTGAGAAGGCGCCCAGCTCAGGTGAGCAAAACCAGATGGGGCATCAATTGAGCATCCAGATTGTGGGACCTTCTCTTCAGAAAGAAAGGGATACATCATATGAATGACTTCCTTTCCTGACCTGGGCCACCTTCCCCCTCGTGTGCCTTGGGAGGACTTCCTTCTAAATATTCTATTGGAAGAAGAATGTCTCACTCAAGCGCCTCCTCGCGTGCTCTCTTTTGGCGACAGTGGTCAATGGTTATAATCTTTCCAAGAAGTCTGGCTCCAAACTGTCCTCTGTGCACGCCCCTGCAAGTGACAGCAAGTCTATTTTTGAATTATGAGCCGTTTGGAAGGTGTCTCCTGGCTCTCACTGTGTTTATTTTCAGAAGAAGTATGAGCTGGGCTTTTGGAGGGGGGAGTGGGATTTGGCCCTTTCCACCTTTCTGGGGAACAGGTCTGGAAAATTGCTTCTGTCGAAGGGTGTCTCTTTGGAATGTCCTGGTCACAAGCCTAGTTCTTTTTCTTTGTCTGGTAAATATTTTTGGAAAGTATTTTCTTTCAGCACTCCCCTTCCCCTGCCCCCATAAAACCACTGAGTCGGATCCCTCCCAAGATGCTGCCCAAATTGCATTTTCCAGCCTAGATGCCACATCAGCTCTTTGCCTTTGGTGAACTTCTCTAAATAGAGTCAGGCAAAGCCGAAGGGACATTTTGTCAATGAAACTAGCCTGTCTGTATCCTCCTCCACAGGCCAAGAGACATGGAATAAATGGAATTGTGCAGTTACATAATCAAAGTAATGATGGTGACCAACAAAAACGAATTCATGGTTCCATTAGAGGGAGGGGTGGTGTCGCTGAGCCTACGCGGGTCAGTACCTTCGGGTGTTCTGCGTGCAGGGCGGGTCTTTCACCCCTAGAGGGCGATCACGATCCTCCGGAGGCAGCGGTTTTGCGTTCACTGTCATGGTTTCCATCCCCTTCAACCCACTTAATTTTTCCCCCTTCCCTTGTTTTGAAAGGATTTGCTGGATAAGCCTTGTTTGTTAAGAAATAACAAATAGGTTTCACAACACAACTGTGATTTTTGATCGCCGTCCCACCCAATGGGCCTGAGCTAATGGGTCCTTGCCTGATAGAATTCTAGCCAAATAAAGGACACTTTGCTTGGAAGTTGGCTGGCTCAGCTGATAGAGGTGAATGTGTAGGTTCAACTCTCTTTTTGACATATTGATTAGATCTCTTCCCATTTGCTGACGGAAAAACTGGAGAAAAGAAGGCTATAAAAAATAAGTGCTTTTTTTTTTTTAAATTTCTTTTTAGTCTGAAAGATGAGAAAACAGCATATTAACACTGGGTTAGAGCTCGGTGATAGTTAAGGATAATTTTCGCTTTTTTGTTCTTCTAACTTGATCCTGTTGGTGCAATTATGGATGGATTTTTTTAAAAATCTAATTTCTAACTTTTCTTTTCTAAAAAAAATTTTCTATTACTTTTACCTAGTATCTTCTTATAAAAACATTTCATATAGTTGAAGCCAGTCGCTTTTGATTGTTGCAATTTGCTCTGTATCTCTCCAGAGGTATAGCTAAGAATTCTACGAAATTTCATCCATGTGTAATAGTGTTTGAGTATCTTGTGTGATTAATGTAATTGATTTATGCTCTACATGTTATTATACAACTTACGTCACTTTTGGACATAGGTTTACACAAGTTTATAGAAATATACATTATGTTTTTTAAATGACGCCACATCTTTTCTATGTAAATGCAAAAAGAACAATTCCAAATTAGTCTCATTTTCTGTTAAAAAAGAAAAACTTTGAGACATGATGTTGTATAATATTTTACGTATTTTAGACACATTTGAACATCTCTGAAATGTATATGTGTAATGGAATCACTATGCTGTACACCAGAAAACTAACACAACATTGTAAATCAAAAAATAAAAAAAAAAAGAACCTTCCCTTATGTCACTTTTATCAGCTTATTTATCTTCATTATATTCCTCCAAGGAAAGCTAAAGACAGTTATCCGAAGTCTCATAATAATAATAATTCCAGAAATAAAGGCATACTTTTTTCCTGTGTTAAAACTAGTAAGTGACAGAAATCAAGCCAAAAGTTATTATAAAAGCTGATTCAACCCTCTAATCTCATTTTCTCCTGTATCCAAAGTCCTGGGTTCAAATCCCAGCTCTGCCACTTTCCTTGCAAGCTGGTTGTAGAAGATAGTATTAATATATGAAAAGCACCAGCTTGGTTGGCACGAAGTAGTTGCTCAATAAAGAGCAGCTATTCTTCTTATCATTGTCCACATTTCCTATCTGCTTATAGTGAATAAAGGTTAGAGTTTTCTGATCTTTTTGAAAAACTATTTACTCAAAGACCAAAATAAGTTGGAAAACACCTTCTGACCCATGATAGGTTCTGTTATCATTTGACACCCCACTGCTATCAGCAAGTTCTTAAGTTTTATGTAAGCAAGCAAAATGGAGTCTGCCCTCTGGGAACTTACGCTCTACAGTGGGTCAACTAGTTGGATAATCTTGGAAAAATCACAAACAGCCCTGGGCCACAGTGTCATCACTGCTTCCATCCCTCAGGCCAGAATTTGAGGAGAATGTTTATACCCACAAATTTAGGGAAACTCTTGAGTGAATCAGCAAATACATGCTTAAATATTAGGAAGTCCCTAATATATGTTCAAAAACAGCACCCAGAGAGTATTTGACCCCACAGTTTTATAAAAGCTGTAGTATTGTGTTCTGTGTCTGTCTGATTTTATTAAAACGGAAGTGTTTCCCTTCTTGACTAGTTTTGGGTTTTATATTTAATAAGAATTTAAAGATTAATGTATTTACTGTCACTTAGTTTTTTTTAACCTCCAAAGGCAACCAGTGTTTTCACTTTCTTATTGATTTCATGATTTATTCTCTCTGTGATATTTTTATATATATCAAATGCATATACGTCTGGCTACGCTTTTTTTAATTAAAAAAAGCACTGTATTATAACTCACTGTTCCACGTCTTGCTTTTTCCTTTAACATCGTATTTGGAAAATTGTTCACAGTAAGTTTGTAAAGGTACCCTCGATCTTCTGTATGGCTGCATTGCCCTGCGCTGCTTTTTAAATTCGTTTTTTTAAACAGTACCCCGTTGGAATGTTTAGGTTGGTTCGAGCCTTTTTGCTGCTACAAACAGTGCTGCAGTGAGTGATTTTACACATAGGCCATTTTTCCACATGTGCAGGTTTATCTTAACTCCTGGAAATGACAATGCAGGTTCAGAGGCAGGTTGCTTTTATAATTTTGATAGAAATGGCTATAGTGGCCTCATTACTGGTTGTAACAGGTTATACTCCTACCGTTGCTGTGTGAGATAATTGCTTAGTAGCACAGTGTGCTGTTGAAGCTGTCTCTGACTTTCTGTGTAATCTTTCTTCTTTGTTTTACTCTTACAGAGGTCAGCAGAACTGGCTACAGCTAGACCACCGAGTTCTTGACCATGACTTGCCCAAGAAACCAGGCCCAACCATTTTGCACTTTTCTGTGAGGTATGTGTTCAGAAACATCCATCATCCCCCATCTTCCCCCTCCCCCCGCCCTGTTTTTTGGTTAGGAAAAAAAAAATTCCTGATGATCAGAGATAGAAAAAAAAATTTTTATAGGGACCTATCGAAAAATTATGATGTGAAAGAGATTCTCTACTCTCTTAGTCTAAAGACCAAGTAAGTTACCATAGACACTGTGTAGATCTGTTTTCTTGGAAGATGAATCACCTGCCTTTATTTCTCAAAGTCCCTTGAATCCATTTAAAGCTGAAAAACATAAATAATACATTTTAATACATAAGCCTGTTTCTGACACAGCATACTTCTAGATTTTTATAATTTGAAATATAGCAAACATGTGCCATTATGTTTTATATAGGCATATTTTTCTAGAGACTATGGAAAGAATTGAATTTTATGCAACTTCACGCCTTAATTTGAATACATGATAAAGTGCAAACAAATGCTCAGGGTAAGAATTATCTTAACAGTACAGAAATCTGGATTTCACTCTCTTGCAGAGAGACTGATGAGAAGGAATCCCTGATTTGTTCTCTGAGCTCTGCTTGGGCAAGTCAATTAACCATACATATGGGCCCCACTTAATTCTCCTGAAATGGATACATTCAACTAAATCAAGCTAGCCAAGGATGGAAATTTTTTTTTCACATTAATTATTCACAGGCTAAGATGATAAAATGTTACAAGGAGTAACACCCGTGTTCCTGTCCCTAGCTTAAGAAATAAAACATTACCGATTTTGCTGAAAGCCCCTTCCTGTGCACTAGCCCCTCTCCCCACTGTTCCGAATTTGATATATTTTCATGATAAATTTTGTTTTCCTGGTCTGAAGCCAAATGTGATAAAATAAGCTTAGGTAGCAGGTTTCCCATAAATCTAAAGATGTTTTCATAATGCTAGATCAACCTAAAGACTTATATTCTGAGCCTGTGTTATTTGGGGGATGTTGAAATACCTTTGTTTTATGCCATATGGTAGGGGCTTCTTGTCTAATTCTTTGGTGAGGGGGGTGTTGTACTGTGGTTACATGACAAAATCATGTCAATTTCCACAAACACTTTTTTTTAAACTTCATTATGCTCCACGAAATCCAAAAGTGTGGTAATAAGAGGCCCTGATATCCTGCTCTTTTGGTTTTAAGGCTCTTATTTCACTATGAATTGATGGTGATGGCGGATGGAAGCTGCTCCTTACTCAGTAAATAATTTTGCCCCCAATTTGTTTTTTGCTTTTTGCTCTGAGATCTGGTTTCGTCTTTTTTTTTCTTCCCACCAGCAGTCGTATTTTTAAAACCCAGGAAGTCAGTAGCATAATGGTGATTTGTCCAGGAGCCTAGCTGGTATGGAAAAGTGCACAGAAATCCTAAAGAAAAACATAGGAGTTTCCTGGAAAGAGTGTGATATAAGTGCTTGTGTCCATGGAAATGGAGAAAGAGATAAACACAAACCAGCAAGCAAAGGAAAAAAAAATGCATGTTAGTAATTCAGCAGGGGTCAGAGAATAGAAAAATTTTAATCTCACATTTTGTGAGGATAATGGTTCAACATAAATCAGTATTTTTTTCACCAAGCATTATATTATAAACATTTCAAACTTTATGAAGGTGTAGAGTGAAAAGTAAGAATTACTCTCCACCAGGCTTCTTCCCTCCCCTCCCCCTCCCCCAGTTCCCTCCCCTCCCCCCTCCCCCCAGTTCCCCTCCCCCTCCCCCCCAGTTCCCTTCCCCCTCCCCCCCCAG